CATCGAGTCTAGGCAAAAGAAAGGTAGATCAGAAGTGATAAAGGGCTAAAAAACTGCCCTTCATATAACGTTCACAGAAACAATAAGGACCTAGGATGAGAACTATTGAAAGCGAGCGCCTCGCAGTTTTCGCACCGCTTTTATATGCAAGACACGGGAAAAACATACCAGAAGGGACGAAACTATGTGCTGTGTTGGCGAATACGGGACAGAGCAAGTTCACAAAGCAGTGGTCAACATTTTCGGAAAAAAAAGTGCGAAGACACGAAAGCAGGATCGGTTGAAGGATAGATTTAAAAAAATACTGAAGGCATCTACATCTATGAACAGCAAATTTTGCAGTTCATATGACGAAGGTTGAATATAAGATAATTTCCGATGACAAGATGCGCGGTTGTGGGCATTTGGATAGCATTGCACCTTCCCGCAGGTATCACGGGGGTAGCAAACCCAAACAGAGTACACGAACTTTAGGAAGACGCTTGCTGTCAATGTAGTTTCTGTCACGTCAACTGTTCTACAGAATGCCGGAAAGCCCGTTGACGACAATGGCCGCGGGCCATCGATGGCCTGTTATATTATCTGGTGGTTACGTTTTTGCGTCAAGGAAGATGGGGAGTCCGAGCAGTTGTTCAGGAGTCGCATGCACTCAAAAAACTTGATATGCCCACAAAGGCCACTCTGACCCCTGTTACGGTGTCCGCAGAAATTGACGCATTCCGCAAACCTGGCCTTATGGTGCGGGTGAAAAAATATGTCAGTTGAATTATGCAGGCGGAAAAAACCCTCGACACCCGACACCGGAATGTACGATCGTTTCCTCAGCTCTTGTATTAGGTTTGCTAATGCGGTTTTTAATGCACCGCGGGTGCCTGACGTGCGTCCGAACTCCAGACTCAATTTCATGGGAAATTCCAATCTCTAGGGTTAGCTCCTTAATGTATATTCACATTGACTTCCCTGGTAGAGATGGCGTCTCGATCGCCTGTCGGAGATGATGAACTAAACACTACTTACCTGGGAAACAGACAAAGATCGGCCAACCTAAATACAACTAAGAAAGCTCTTGAATATGATCTCTGTCATTTGTAACTGCAACCCAACACCATCTTCGGGCGGTACGATGGACAATCTACTTGTAGATGCACGACTTCGTTGACAAAACTCCATACTGTGATCTGCTAAACACAGTTCGTAACTAAATTAGCATCTATTTGGATGCTTTGAATTTCAATCTGGACATAACGATGGTGAAAGGATGTGGGGTACATGTTGCAATTGCAACATGTGGACGGAAATCCCAAAACGAAATAGTCCCACCAATTCAACAATACGAGTCCTCCAAAGGTGTTAGCTCCTCGTGTTTAAAGAAAGACTGCCAGCAGTGACAAAAAGGAAAACTTTATCATTTCATCTATAATATCTCTGTGGTTTTTAAAACCCACTAAAGCACCCATCGACTGCCCGCAAACTAAGTCAAATTGGACAACTGACCGAACTAAGTTTATCAATTACAGTGGTTGCCAATTTGCATAGGGTAAAGGTCATTTAGGTTACCAAAAAAGAACGCTATGTTCACTCGCCGATGGTATAGTAGCCGGTCGTGATTGGTCACGCTGTAGCGGCCGAGGACGTCAAGGGTAGCACACACCTGAGTAAGAGAACGCTGATAAGAGACCTTGGCCGGGGTAAACCTGAATGGAACTGTTAGCATTCCTTGATACGCATCCATACACATGAGAAGAAGGCATGTCGAATAAGGGATAAAGTGTAATATGACGAGACTGCACGGGGAAAACGTATAATAATCGTAATTGTACAGGAAGGATAGTTACATCTGTAGAATGACCTGTCTGGGTGGAGAGACGATGCCAACATGCCAGCTAGTAAACCGGCGGAGAGCGCAGCGCTGGGGGCAACTGCAAAGAAGGGCCGAGGGAGTGCCGATGTAGTGAGGAGGCGAGCGGTACGGACGATACGTTACGTTACGGTACGACGAGGGGGAAATGGATCGGCAGAAGAGAGAGGGAGGGACACCGGTTATCCTCACCGAGAGGCGACTACGCCATCTCCACCCTAGGTCCTCGCGTGGAAAATTTTCAAACATTCTAACAATTCTGTTCAAGTCCAGGGGCGTTACAACGCGTCAGATTTTCCTGTCAAATTTCGACCTTATCTGTCGTCAGCATAAGTTCAATGGGCAGTTTTGTTACTGCAGACAATTTTTTTCATTCAACCTTTTTCAGATTTCTTTTAATTTTTAATTTTGTTTTTTTGTAAAAACAACCGTAAGGTAATTTTTTCTTTACAGTCTGCTTTTGGAGGTACATGGTCTGGCGGAACTGGACATTAACCATACCGTTTTGCCCTGTCCATAAGGCTTTACGGATGATCCAGTACCCCACAAACAAACATGGAAAGTCCTTCGTTTGCCCGATTTCTGATGAAGTTATCTGCCAACGAACGACTCCGGATATCTGTTACGCAAAAAATATTAGCATAAATAATCAGCCATGCTTCAACTAAAGGATGTACAACCCCTTGGACTGAGTCACGTCACAGTCCATGCCTTCTTTGCAATGCCCTGAAAACGAAGACGTGTGTTGGTAAATAATGTCCGATTACTATTTCAATCAACAACTGACGCCGTGGGCCATGATTTGATATGAGATGCAGTATTTTACTTGGTCGATTTCAATGCCCAACCATGCGCCTTTTGTCTAACACCACAATACAACCATTGAGCTACACAAGGAATTTTTTCACATTTTGCTCAATCCATAGAGTATGCTTTTTCGATGGCGCCTGCAAGCTGTGATATAGTAATAGTATACCCCACCCATTTTTTTCAATTTTTCTCAAATGCTGTCTCCATCAGATTATAAACGCAGCACGATTTTCGGAAATTAGTGAACTTTATATTCTTAATTGGATTCCTAAATCTCATGCACAATAAATCATTTGCATTTCGGATTAGGTTGTCCAAATTTTCAGCACATATTATGTGCAGGGTTTTCGGCCTGCAATCGCACCCATGGCTCTCCAGCCTGCCTGTCCAGATTTACTGCTGCATATTCAAACTTCATTTGAAAGACTCTTTGGTGCTATGTAAGACCTCATCTGGAGTATGGAATGCCAGCATCTTCACCATGGATGAGGAAGGATATCGGCCTACTCGGGCAGGTGCAAAGCAGAGTGACAAAGATGGGCTACGGTCTAAGGCATTTGCCTTATCAGGAGAGGCTGAATTTGCTTGGCTTATTCCGCCTTTCTTATAGACACATAAAGTGCAGTCTACTTTGGACTGTCTCAAGCCCGTTTGCGCACAACCGTTCAAAATCCTTAGACACGAGATAAGTTGAAATTCATTTATAACTGAAATATTTGACATATTTCTGCGTCGATTTTGCGTCGATTTTTATTAAATATCGAAAATAACACATAAATCCATTACACTCTCTCCATTTAACCATGACTGATGTTACGTTTGCTGTCGACAAAGTAGATCTTTCGGCCATCGTCCGTTTACAGAAGTTCATCGAGAAGCATGAACATATTTTTACGATTCTCGATTGACTAACAGACTCAAATAAATTCACGAACAGCCTAACGAGCCTACCACAAATTTAATCTATTATACATTTAGTTTCGTCCGAAGTCGCGGATAGATCGAAACGCATGCTCAATTCCTCTAACGATCCACACGGAACTCCGACAGAACTTCTTTGGAACGACCATACTCCTTAGTATCAATTCTCTGCCAACAGCACCCCAGGACTCTCCTGATCCAAGAGCGGCTGAGAGAGAGAGAGAGGACTGCTTTATTTTGGAAATAACTTTCAAAACTTTCAGAAAAAACGGTTTCTCCAGTACACAGTGATTACCATAGAGATTAACAGGTTTTTGGACAGACAGGTGGACATGATTATATATGAAGAAAAAAGGACTTTAGGGTGCAAGATCGAGTTGTAGTTTTTGTTTTTCAACATCTTTGC